CTGTGAGATCTGAATGGAGGTGCTGATACAACTCTTCTGTGTTCTGAGGTGTGTTAAGAGGCTCATTTGGATGTTCTAGGCTAGTTCACCTCAACTTTTTGCAAACAGAAGGGGTGGATGTACATGTGTAAATAAAGACGTGTTGACAGTTGTGCACATAAAGAAAAACTGAGATGGAGAAAATATCTTGATTCTTATTTTCCATAGGTCATAGAGAACATTGAAGAAATAACACAGTGAAGCCAAATCATTGCTTCTTTGTTACAAAGGCAGAGAGTGAAACACTCAAAGGTAAAATAAATTAAACAGTTTATCTTTCCTTGTTCTCTAAATAAAAAGACTGAAAGTTATCATACCTTGAAACACAGTCCATCCTGTTGCAAAGTATGTGTGTTTCTGTAACATATATTATTAACTTATTTGCAGTTGGTAAATAGAGTAATATCAATCCTGTATGAAAGTTGCATGGGTTCAAACATGATTCTTTTTTTCCCAGTGAGCTAATATGTTGAAGCAACTAGAGGCAAACTTTCTCACAGCTCAGGAGAAACTCTTCGTAATATATAAAGACCCTAAAAGACAAGTGAAAATCCTTTAAGGGCAAAGAGTGACTGTTTTAGTAACTTTCACTGTATTAAACTGGCTGGGGAAACTGCAAAGTGCAATTTAACCATGAAGACATTTCACCTGGTTATTATTAGGAAAAAAAGCATTGATTGATGAAGGTGAAACTTCACAGCTCATCTCAGGACTTAGCAAATCACAGGTTTTTTATGTCTTGGTGCAGAAGAAATTCAATGAGGGACAAAGTAAGAGGTAAGAAGTGGATTCATAGTTTAGGATGCTTTTGAAGGATACAAGCAGGCAGGCAAGAGACCTCTGCCCTGAGAACTAAGTGGGCAACATGTTTATAAGCAAAGGGAAAATAGAAAGGGGAAGAAGACCACTTTCTTCCTCATTCTTTGAGTGGACGTCAAGCTTTCATCACTAGCTCCTCCTCCAGTCAGGCAGAGGAGTTTTTGACCCTATATAGTCAAACTGGGACTGTCATGGTGCTATCTACATCAGCAGAAGGGTGGTAATGTAAACTAACACAGACCAAAATATGTTAAATCACCTCAGGTTTTAGTATGATGAAGTCTTCTACTTTGGAATGGCACCTTGCTCATGTATTCCTGTCTTTGGTATTTGCTAAGGGGCCTGTCTTAAGGATCATTCTCCTGCTGACCTCGACCAGCTGGGTGCAGCCCTCACTTTTTCACTTACTGGCCTGGAGCATATCTTATGCTTTTATTGTGTGGTTTCGTTGTTAAGCAGGCCTGTTTCACAATAGTCTGATTGCTTTCTTGAGTGATCACTAGCTTACAATGACCTCCCAAAGTTCCTTCTCTATCTATAACCCCCCAGTGGGATGTCAAAAGCTACCTGTGTAACTATCCTGCTCTATTCCTATTATTGGGAGCTACCTTTAGATCCTATTTTTAATGTTAATGCAATTGGTTTATTTTTAAAATAAATATTTATTTGGTTGTATTGGGTCTTAGTTGTGCATGCGGGATCCTTAGTTGAGGATGTGGGTTCTAGTTGCCTGACCAGGGGTCGAACTGAGGCCCCCTTCATTGAGAGTGTAGAGTCGAGTCCTAGCCACTGGACCGCCAGGGAAGACCTGAAAATGGTTTCTATGAGAAGCGATTGATTTCAGGGTCTATATCTGAAAGGAAGAAGCACAAACCCCAAAGTTTAAGTATACAAAAGATAGACTGATTCTCAGTGCACATACTAGTGGGAATTTAGGATTTTTGTTTTTGTTACTGCTCAGGTTACAAAACTCCAAACCTTTTTTCCCCTGTAAGGCTTTTCATTTTAGGGCACGATTTTACAGATCATGAGGTTTCCATCTTATTAGGAGCAATATAAAGAATGTGTTTGGTAAAGTTGGTAACAGAAGTCCGTAGTTTTCATTAAGGCTCCTCTTTTTTTTTTTTTTTTTACAGTTTTATAGATTTTAACAAATGCATGATTTCATGTGTCCACCACTATGTATCACATTGAATAATTTCANGTTTTTTAAGAAATCTCCACACTGTTTTCTATAGCGGCTGTACTAGTTTGCATTCCCACCAACAGTGTAAGAGGGTTCCCTTTTCTCCACACCCTCTCCAGAATTCTAGTCATTGTTTTTAAAATAAACTTTTTGTTTTTAGAACAATTTTCACTTTGCATAAAAGTTGTAAAGTTCTCATATATCCCCTACTCAGGTTCCCCTATATCAATTACTATGGTACATTTGTCATACTCCCTCTCCCCCTAGTGCCTGGTAACTTCTTCTAATCTACTTTCAGTCTGTGAATTTGCCTATGCTGGGTAACTCATATAATTGGAGCAATATAATATTTGTCCTTTTGTGTGTGGCTTATTTTACTTACCACGTCTTCAAGGTTTATCAGTGTTGCATGCACCAGAACTCTATTGCTTTTTTCTTATGGCAAAATGATATTTCATTGTGTGTGTATGTAATATATATGTCACACTTTATTTATGCATTGTTTGTTTATATGACACATTTTGTTTTTATATATCATATATTAGTACATATTTGTTTATATACACACTGTTTATAAACCACATTTTTCTTACTATCTAATGGATAGTCCTACTCTACAACATACATGCAATGTGTTTGGTTTCCACATTTTATTAAGCTCATCAAATTGCTCATAGTAAACTTTAATAGAGAATTATTTAACTCTTGCAATAACAATCTTGAAATTGGCCCTGCAGTACTAAGATAAAACTTTGGGTCTGCTGGAATTATGAGGCATCCATATTGATATTAGCACAGGCTCTCCAAAAATTAACAAAAATGTTTTCTTTTAGTTGAGATACCTTTGGAATCAGTGTCTATTTTTTTTTTTTATTAAAATTACACAATACCACTAATTGGGTAAATAGTTATGTGATTTTAAATATATTTTTCTTTTAGCAGTAATTTTTATTAGAGATCAGTATGTGTTGTGTAGAATTGTCCATTTCCTGAATATTTGCCCTTTACATTTCTCTTTTCCTTCTTATTTTTATATTTTTTTGAGGACCTTTAGTCAATTTCTTTAGGGAGGAATAAGTTCAAGTCTATATCTATTACTCAAAGGACCATTTCCCCCTGTTATACAATGTATTAAACATTATGAAAGGCATAAGTATTCATTGTAAAAATTTGAAATAAAATATCATAGCACAATTAAAAGAATATCCAAACCACTCAGATTTTTGGTACATTTCTTTTTAGTATGTGCATGTATGCTGATAACATTTTTAAATAGCTCTTAAGTTAACAAAATATTTTCCTGTCTTTAAATATGAATGCATACTAATCTCAATTGAGCCATGATTTTTTTTTTGTATAACATCTACCTCTTTTTTAGACATTAGAATTATTTTAAGTTTTTTAAAAACTAAAATCTGAACATATCAATGCAGTTAACATACTTATAGAAATATCTTGTGTACATATCTCCCTGATAATTTATTTTATTATAAACTGGTTAGAAACCTGATTATTTTCTGTTTGTTTTGCACATCTTGATTAGCTGAAAACAAGAGGTCAAGTGTAAAGTAATTAGACCCTTATTCAAGAAACAGATGTTGTCCATATAACCCTACATCCTTTTACAATTTAGTGTCATCTCTGACAAAGGTAATCATTCTGTGCCCTGCTGTCATCTACCATCCTTGGCCTTCCTCTTTCAGTCCTTTGTTATGAGATGCCTTTGTTCCTTTGACTTTCAATGGTTGATAACACTTTTAATGGTTGAAAGATTATTTTAACCTTTTAATGTTTTCCTAGCACTTTCTGCCAGATATGACTAATCCTTCTCAAATGCTGCTTTATCATATCTTACCTATTTGTTCTATTCCAGACAGCAGTCTGTTTCTTTTGTAACAGTCTTTGGACAGCAGTAGTTCACATTAGCAGAGCACACGGTGTTATACACTTTTTGTGTGTGCTTTGACTTAGTTTTAATGTTGAGGAAGTAAAGCTAATATCCCTTTTTCTTTTCAGCTTCAATAATTGAGGTCAGTTAAACTCAGTAACATTGCTCCCCAGTTGTCACAGAGTGACTCAAGCAGTTCATTCCCAGAGTCTTGGCTTTGTAGACTCCCTCTCATTATCAGTAATGCTTTAGTTGGAGGTAAATTGAGGTTGTTTTCAATGTCCAGGGATAACGGTGCTCCTAGGAAGATCAGGAACTCTTTTAAGATTTGCCCATTTTTTTAGGTTTAAATGCTGAACTAGCAAAGTAGATGCACTCAGAAGGTTAACTGGGGTGCCCTTCTAATAGAACACCTGGATATGACATTTATCTTCCCATCTGTTTTTCTAACATGGCAGACAGTGAACCATAAAGAAAAGACCTTTAATAAAGGCCATTTCCTCCCAGGTTGGTCCATTTTAGAGATAACCAAGCCTAAAATTGTTCTAATTGCTTTTACTTTTACTAGCAATCTCATCAATTCTGGAGCTAGTTTCATTTTTATTACATTTCAAAGACAGGTTATCAAACTAAGAGAAGTTCAAAACTCAGCCAAGAATGGCCAGCCAGAAAACTGTAGACTCCTTTTTTGAAACTGTGTCTTCTGATGGAAGAGCCTAAGCTCTTAGTTGCCCCAAGATACTACAGCATCATCTTTGGACTTTCTTAATTACCCTTGACCTCCCTGGTATTTTCTCTTGTGGTATCTCTATCCTAACAACCTTATTGTGTACATGTTTTTGCAACTTAACTACACTCTATGGAAGAAGCACTTTAATTTTTTAAAAAGCTTTATTGGCGTAGTTGATGTACAATGTTGTGTTAGTTTCAGGTGTATAGCAAAGGGAATCAGTTATACATACACATAAATCCACTCTCTCTTAGATTCTTTTCCCATATAGACCATTACAGACTATGAGTAGAGTTCCCTGTGCTACACAATAGGTCCTTATTAGTTATCTGTTTTATAATATATACGTGTGTGTTAATCCCAATCTTCCAGTTTATTCCTTTCCCCCAAAGTACTTTAGAATGAGACTTGTTGCAGAGTATTCAGTTGACTTCCCAAGTAGAGAACTGCCTTTTGCTTCCTTTATCTGGCTACCAAGACAGAGATTCCTGGGAGTCAACCTGCCATCAAGTCAACTGTTTTGCCTCAGATGTTTCAGCCCAAGTTCGACTTTGGAATGTCAGATTCTTCTGTCTTCAGGTCCTGAGCCTCCATTTGACTTTCCATCTCCTCCACTGAGAATTGTAGAGTTAAGTCAGGTAAGCAATCATTCAACCCCATTGTCTTTCATGTTGCTGGGAAGAGGGCTGTGCTATCTTTCTGTCAGAGAGGGAAAGTTTTATTCCTTTAAACTACAGAGTAATTTATAAACTACAATGCACAGTCCAGTTGGTTAAAGGAAATCCATTAAAACCAGAGTTTTACTGTTCCCAAACTGAATATCTATGTCTGTATTCCTGTTGATTATTACCTCACGGGCCTTGGAGATACTATCTTTCCCACATCCTCTGATAAATAAGTTATCATTAGTGTTAATATCACATACATTGTATAGGTAATCAAAGTGAATTAGAAAGAAAATAATTTTAACAAGACCAGAATGCTTTTTAAGTTATACTTTGAAGGCTCACTTCATGGCATTTTACATTCCAAGGAAAGCTTTGAATTGTTTGGGATTCAGTTAACTCACAGTTATCAAAGGAAGAGAAGCCTGGCTAACCTTCAAGGCTATGAAAATTTCCCAATATTTGCTTGGCAACAGATGACCTGTATGCACTTAGATATTTGTTCAAGAAATACATGTGGTTTCTCAGCAGTTAAACCTTTGATTCAGCTAAAGGGCAGTTAGCCTTCCACAACAGGACAGTTTTTTCTAAATGAGTTTTTTTTTTTTAATAGGAAAGAATACGGCTGTGCACAGAGGGAGGATTGATCACTGTCTATTCTTCAAAGACACTTCTGTGGCAGTGACAGTGGTTGGGAATGTTAGCACTCACTGCCCTGACAGAGACCTGCTTCAACAGGGTAAGAAGGTAGGCTTTGGGTATCAGACCTGTATCTCCAGTTTTGGCTACAGCCTTTTTGAAAGGCTTTACTCCTTTTCCAGGGACTCATTTGGGATTGAGAAGCTTTCTATTTATTGGCCCTCAGCTTTGACATGGCCTTGAAGTTTCTGAATTTCTAGATCTCAAGTTTTTTCACGTTGACATTTAAATATACTTAATTCTTGTACATGTGAGTCACTTCAGTTGTAATGTGCAGAAGCCCTTAGACCTGGCACAATTTCCTTCCTGGTCACATGGCCCTAGTGAGAATAGCATCGCTGTGTCAGGACTGAAACAGCAAAGCAGAGTGACTGATAGACCAAGATTGCTGAAGCCTAGATTTAGAAGCAACTAACATTAATTAGGTAGTTCCTGTGTTCTAGACACTGTTCATTATTATGTTATTATTAAAGCATTTAACACTGACTTAATATTAAAGCATTTAATTTAGGTGCTATGAGTAGTCTTACCCACATTTACTTTAGTCAGTTCAGATGTAGCAGGTTGAAAACTCAGGCAAACTGCATGAGCTCTTCTAGTACTTTTGCTTTTGATGTTTCAGGGATTTTAGAGTCTTGGCTTTTCATCTATTAAGAAACAATTAAGAGGGAGATAGGGAGTAGCTGTGGGGTAGTCAGTATTTCCTGTCATATAGTTTGATACTATTAGGTGTTGTATTTGAGAGTTGGTGGCTTAGACGGTAAAGCGTCTGCCTGCAATGCAGGAGACCTGGCTTCAATCCCTGGGTCGGGAAGATCCCCTGGAGAAGGACATGGCAACCCACTCCAGCACTCTTGCCTGGAGAATCCCATGGATGGAGGAGCCTGGCAGACTACAGTCCACGGGGTCACAAAGAGTCAGTCATGACTGAGCTACTTCACTTCACTTTTCATTTTCAGGTAAGGGAGATAGCTAGGAATAAGGGTTTGAGGGAAGAAGGAAAGGGATGGAAGATCAATCTGGAATCAGTTTCAAAGAAGACTGCATAGTGCTTTGAAGAAATCAGTCATCAGTCTGACATCATCACGTGACCTCAGAAGCTATCTTCATATCCTCCCATCTTCTTGTCAGGGCTCAGCCTCACCACTGCCCCCTTAATGCCCATCCTGGTTCTGTGTGTTTTGGGAGCCAGTGATTGTGTACACTCTGAGTGAGTTCAAGTGCTGGGAGAGGGACTACTTGTGACTGCCATTTTAGGCCACCAAAGCAGTAGGGAAGGTATGGTTTCCTGTGGAATGGGAATGTGATATCAAGCTGATGGGCAGCAGAGGAAGTATTTGGGGCAGCATGGAGGGAAGGATGCATATCTTGTAGAAATCAGGGGATACAGGTTTTGTCACCTTAGTTGGGGATGGCCACAGCTCTGTTATACAGCCCTATTGAATAGTCTTCCCTCATAGCTCATAGCTCAGTTGGTAAAGAATCTGCCTGCAAAGCAGGAGACCCTGGTTTGATTCCTGGGTTGGGAAGGTCCCCTGGAGAAGGGAAAGGCTACCCACTCCAGTATTCTGGGCTGGAGTACTCCATGGACTGAATAGTCCATGGGGTCACAAAGAGTCGGACACGACTGAGCGACTTTCACTCATCACTCATTGAGTGAGTGAACTATAGTTATTAGCAGTGACTTGGAAAAAAAATTATTCTTTTGCCTCTTCTCTGTTTCACTCCCAAGCTCTTCACTATGTTGAAAATTGACTTTAGGGATGATCATCTCTATACAGAAAGTTCCAAATTTGAAATGCCTTCATTATTACATTCAAGAATCCTCTCCACTCTTTGCCTGGCTTCTCATTCCTGTGGGATTGATGTGCCAGCCTGTGTCCTAATAGTGTTTCTTTAGTACTTACCGCTATTCAATTTGGGAGTTAATGGGAGAGGGATTACAATGGGTAATCAAGTCTGTTCAGATCTTAAAGACTTTTGTGGATTTCAACAGGCCTCAAGAATCTTCCTGTCTGGTAAGTACAGGATAGTTAAGCACCATACATAACTACAGACATTAGATTATAGGCCATCTGCTTCAGTAACTTGACTTTAAGCAATTTTTAGTTGCCATGTTTTACACTTGAGGATAAGGTTAAGAGAAGTTAACCTGTTGAGAAGTTTCAGATGCTACTAGAACTAATGTTCACTTAATAAAGGAAGCCAGAACTCTTTAAAGAAGATGCGAATTCCCCTACAGGACAATAGGAAGCAACATTCAACATTTGTTCCCCAAGGCAAGATTCTGGGTCCCCTGAGGGGTCTCCTATCATAGTATTGGTGAAATTCCAGCTGTCCCTAGGGATGGGATGTCTTTGACTTCACTGTACTTTTCACTGGCTTCTGCTTATCATGGCCGGAAGGCTGTCCAGACAGATGCTATTATGATGAACTCTTGGTGTTCATCTCAGGGCTCACTGTCCTTACTGCACTTTTAACTAAGTGCAGTGGTTCAGTATTGACTCTACAGTTAGGAAGTCTTGGATGAGACTCCAAAACAAAAGATTTAAGAAATCCCATACCTTATGTTAGGACTAGAGCAGGATGTAGTGAGATGGTTTAACCAGAAGGATGGTTGTGGGCATTGACCTCAAGAATCATCTGGAACAGGCTTGCAGTGAAGGCAACAAAGATTATTCTTGCTTTCATTGGGAAGAGGAATGAGCCTGATGCCTTTTGTTTGTGTTATACTTAGGAGTTTTGTGATGCCCACAGACATTGATATAGGTAATCTTTTATCACTGCCAGAATGTCCACTGCACTTTGCCTTTTATTACCCTGTATTGAGTTACCCATCCTTTGGATGAGTTGCTTTCTGTGCTTAGTTTTTAAGGTTCCTTTGCACTTCCTGGTTCACATCTAATCATCAACCACATATTAAAAGGAGTCAAGAAAGGAAAGATTTGGTTTATTTTTAAGCTTTTAAAGTGACATACTGGCATAGATGGGAATAAAACCAGCTTCTAAATCATCAGTTTCAGATTCTAGCGCACATACACACAAATGGAGTTTTTAAGTGAAAAGCATATGGTTTTATACATGTGGGAACTATGAACAGGGTCAGGTTTCCACAAGGTACAGGGGTGGAGGGTGGGGGGTGGGGTCAGAGAAATACTTTTTATTGTGTCCTTGGAGTATTGGTGGGATCCATGAATATACTTCCATGCCTGGCTGTTTCAATGATTTGAAGGAGTACCGTGCTGTGACATGGAAGACCTCTCATCATTGGAAGTGAAAGTTAGTTCACCTTTGCTGCTCCCTCTATATTGTGCTAGAGTGTGTGAACTTAGAAACAGGTCTTATTATAGTTTGTCCTAGACCTTGTCCATACAAAAGCCCTTTTCTAGAACCTCTCAGCATATTGTGAAATGCTTTCCATCATGCACCCCAGTACTTAGAAGAAACCAGAATTGCCTAATGATAGCTTTGGTCAAAGTATCCCTGAAAGTGAACTAGAAAGCGCAACTCAGATGAGAGTTTGACATCACTGTCAGCAAATATGTAACAATCTTTTAGATGGTGAAATTCTTTAATGCCTAGTTAGTAATAGTGCCTGTCTTCAATGAACTTGTTATCCAAAATAAACTAACATAATTTTTTCACCCATAGTGCTCCTACTCGTTGTGAATCATATTTGCGATAGATTCTCCACCCATTGGGTCTAAGGGCAGTTTTCCTATAAGTGGACAAGCTGTTGTATAGTGCTAGCACTTTTTGTCTTAGCTAACTAGCATTCTAAATTTTGTGGTTCTCAACTATCCCCTGATGGACTGGGTTGTATTTTCCCAGATAATCTCTGTTAATACTATTAGTAGCCATTGCTGTTCCTTTCAGGCATTCTACTGCCTAGATACATGTTACTTGAATTTTCATTAAGTTAAGGTTATATGGACAATTAACCTACATTGTAGTATGGATGGGCTTCCTTAGTTTTTTAAAAAAATGTCTTTGAAATATTTGGTTCTTTGAAAGCACATAACCCATTTTCTAGGTGTCCATCTCCTAAGTATGCTCCTGTAGACTGCTGTATTATAGACAGCCACTGCTGGAGAATTGGTTGTCCTGAGGTAGGATAAATGTCTTAGGTGTGATGCTACTCTATTTTTCTAGTTTAATTCTTTAAATGTAATGTAATTCTTTAAATGATTCTTTAGATGTAATGTAACACTCAACTAGCAGCTAAACTCAGCAAATCTTCCCATGCATATGGTTGTAACAGATTTCTAATTTTCATTTCTCTATGGACAAATGAGCAAGAAAATAAAATGTAATGGCATGATCTCATCCTCTACAAATCTCTGGTGCAGAGCACCATGTTCCAAAGTTTAGCCTTAGTAAAATTTTTGGTAAAATTCTAGTGCTTATTGAAAAACTCATTGTATCTTAAGGTCCTTTATTTCTAGGAACTATATATTCATGAGTATATGTTTTTTGGTGCAATGTTAATTTACCTGGTTGGGCTACTTCCATCTTGTGCAAATAGGCAATACAATCAAGTTGTTCAATAATGTCACAGATTTGGCAACCATCTTTGAAATATTGAACCACTAATTGGAATTTGTAGTGCAATAATGTAGCCATTTGCTATTAATAGGATGTTAGCTTTCTATGAGCACTTTGGTCTTATCACTTTATGGTGGACATAGCTATACTTTACATTAAGTAGTGCTACTGCTGTAATATATCTAACAGTATGAGTGTATGGAGTTTTCCAATTGTTTACTTGCTTTGCCCCTGTAGAGGTGATGTTACAAGTCAACATCTCAGGGTCTCTTGCAGTTGCACTTTATTAGGATCCCCTGAGTCTATGCCAGTACAATAAGTTTTTTTTAACAGGAAAATTTGCTAGGTATCCATAGATGCCTATGTGCTTTTTTAGGGAGTCATTTTTGTCTGAATGTCTGGCAACTACCCATCATATCTTTCATAAGTCTTGACAGATTTGGTGCTGTGTTTTGGAGAAAAAGACCCATTAGCATGGATTTGTATATTTTGTTTGTCCTTAT